CATAACAATACTTCCTCCCTTTAAGTCGGCAAGTTAAAAATTCCTCAGCCTCAGAAATAGAATCAGCCAAAATATTGTTCAAACACGCAGCTTTCCTAAATTAAAAATAATGATGGCAATAAAAAGGCGGCAATAAAAAATTGGGAAAATCCGTGCTCACTATATCTGCAAGCGTGAGCTATTTATACGCAACACGTGAAAAGATGAAAAAAGAAAGAGATTGAGGGGTGGGGATGTAAAGAGAGTAGCGAGAGGCTATCGTCGTTAGCACGTAAACTCTCGGCTGTGGCATACGAGGAACAATCTACTCCGGAGTCGCAAAAGTCTGATGGTGGACTCGTTTCAACTTTACGACTGCCTATCGTTCTCCCTCCACCTTTACCTCCCACTCTTCCGCCCCGCGCTATTCTCTTTCACCTTATCCAGGAGTACGTTTGTAAGAGAATAAAGTCAGCGAGCACCGACAATCGACGATCACGAAATTCCCTCGGTAAGGAGATGAAAAAAAATGTTTAAAAGTGAAAAAAAATGATGAGGGAGTGGGTGATACGTATGGGCTCATAACATGCCACAAGTTTTACGAGGTGGCATAAATAATAGGGTTACTACTTCGTGATGTCAACTGAGACTCCAGTGGATCACAAAAGTGAGGAAGGGAAAAATAAAAAAATTGTTAACGCGTCTCTGTTCAAAGCATGGGCTCAGGACGTTGTGGCGTGGCGAGCGACCTCTTGGCGATAAGCATGGTGATATTGAGGGGCGAATATGCTCACATGGCTAATGTAGGAGGGAGGTAAGGGAAAAAACTGTATCAGACGCATTTTTACTACAAGTATATATTGTACAGGACAACCTCGTTTATCCGAGGTAATGTGGGAAAGGGGTACCTCGGATAAGCGAAAACTCAAATAACACAGAAGAAATAGAAAAAATTGAAAATTTTAATCATTTTTTATGTTTTTGAAATGGTAAAATGAAATCTAATGACGACTACGACTTTTTTCCTTTTTTGCAACATGGCAATGTTCGTTCATTGATTGTTGAAGGCCAACTGTTAATTTTTAGCTCGCTATTGAAAAGCGCACAAAACACGTAATTGAGAAAAGTTTTTGTTTATGAGTAAACGAAAATGTACTTTTCGGCACGAGGTGAAGGTGCTGAAACAAGTTTGTGCGGTTCCGTTCGTTTTATCCGAGTTTTTCCGTATTATCCGCCTAAGTCCGTTGCCTCGGATAACGTGGAAGCTCAGTTGATCGAAGGCCGGATAAACTAGGTTGTACTGTATACAACATCCTTAATTTCATGTTGGGGATCATTCGCAGAGTTTCCGTTAACGGGCAGGGCTATGTATCGGAAATCCGGAGAATTCTAGATGTATCTATAAAATTCGAGAAAATTCTCCGATTTTACTGGTAACAATCTATTACATCAACTCACATCTGAACAGTTCCGTTTAGTCTAATTAGCCCTTGCATTGGTGTCCGCTTAGTCCTACCTCCTGGTGTATAACTGCTACGGATAGGGGCGAAAATGGAGACCTACTGTACCTATCTAGTCGGTGTGACAGATGAGCGCAATAGAACCCCGAAATATCGGCTGGCTGTACGAGTGAGGTTTTCCATGGTTCCCCGTACAGTTGTAGTCTGAATGTGAAGCAGTTGGGTGAAGTCGCCTATAAACCCGTAATGATAGAACAAAAGAAACATGAACAAAAAAAAAAAATACATCTGACTGGAAGATAATGATTGTATTTATTGTGCATTCATCAATTAGAACTGCAACACAAGATAACCCGTATAATATACAGTATTACGGATGCGATGGTCACCTCACCACATGGCAGTGTTTGCTTAGGTGTAAAAGAGAATTTCGCATCTTTTTCTTCATACTCATATGTTCCCTGTCGATTAGCGATATCAAATGATAATTTATCAATTTCTCATTTTACTATGGAAATATAATAAAGGCAATACATACAGCTTACAGGAACAAGAAGAGTAGGAGAGGCGTAAAGACAGATGTAAATGGGGCACCTGAAAACTCATAATGATGTTGAAAAGAAATATGTATAATACAAAAAAAAACTTATATCTGCTCGAAGGATAATTATTGTATTTATTGTGCATTCATCAATTAGAACTGCAACACAAGATAACGCGTATAATATGCAGTGTTAAGGTTTTTTCATTTCGGTACAATTAGGACCTTTTTCAGGTAACTGATGAGTCGTAAACGATGCCATGGTGCGTTTATCTGAAGCCTTACGATACAAATCGTATGCGAAGCTCAACTCACCACATGAGAGTGTTTGCATAGGTATAAAATAGAATTCCGTATCTTTTTCTTCATACTCATATGTTCCCCGTCGATTAGCGATATCAATTGATATTTTCTCCGTTTCCCATTTTACTATGGAACTATAATGAAGGTATTGACATACAGCTTCGATGTTGCAACCGTCAGCACCTGCGGCTATCATGTGTGAAAGAGCACTCCAAGCTACATTCTCCCAAGAATGACGAGGCATACGGCTGGTTTCACATATTGTTTGTCGTTCCGCAGGACCATAGCCATACACCCCCAAAGTGCCAACAACCATGTAACATATCTATCCAACAGAAATTCTGTGAACTTCCTAGATAAAGACTCAATAAAGCTTTTGGCACCGACGTCGGTGGCCGAGTGGATTAGACGCAAGTCTAGTGTGGAACCGATTCCCCGTGGAACCGAATTTTTCAACAGAAGGCTCCGGTGAGCGGGAGATTGCTAATAAAGGAACCGCCTGTATCGCAATGGTTTTTCTGTGGTTTCCCCATGCTACTTCTATATGTTCTATAGGAGTGCGAATGCGGTACAGTGTAGAATCCACAGCCGCATGCATCGGGAGTGCCGAATGGGACCCGAAAGGGGACTCCGAGGCCGCAAAAAAAAGCTTTTGGCGTAAATGGTTAACTTGAAAGTACACATTGCCATGAGGGAAGATGGGCTAAATTAGTGGATAGAATCATGATTCAAAGTTACACATGAGATTATTCAAAGTACATGAGCTTACCGTTATATCAGTATCTTCATTGACTTATTCATTCCAAGTGTACCTACAAGGATATCGAAAGCAATCAATATCTTTTACTGTCAAAAAATGTTCTAGAGAATGTCAGTTTTCCGATTACGCTGAGAAGTTCGGGTTCATCTTCTGGTTCTGGTTCTGATTCTGGTTCCGGTTCTAACTGAGGTTCTGATTTTGGTTCTGATTCCTGATTAACTACTTTTTCTGAACTTGATGAAGACGACGAGCTTGATGAAGACGAAGAACTAGATGAGGAACTTGCTGAAGAATCAGAGTCTTTCGTACTTGGATTGCAGTTGGGAAGAAATGAAATGAATATCTGAAGAAATGAAAAAAAAGAACATTCATTCATTCATATTTTTTCTTTTCCTACTAGCATTACGGTTTTATAGGCATCCCATTCGTCTGCCTTACCTCTCCCGCTTCTCTCTTCTGATTTTTATCTGCGTTACCATGGGCCGTCTTACTCTTAACCGCACCACATTCGGGTTAGGACTGCATGGGAAACCATGGAAAACCACAGTCGTATAGCCGGCTGATTGTGCAGAGCCCTAATGTGCGCTTCTGTCGAACTGACTGGACGGGCACATTAGGCCACTACACCGCGCCTACCTTCCTAAATTTTTAGGCAAGAGTGTTCCTAAGCAGTTACCCATCCATGTACTAACCGCGCTAAACGCAGCTGCACTCGGATGTCCGCCGGAGCAACACCTAATTCACCCAACCATTACGCTCGGTCTGAAAAAAAAAAGGAATAATTCCCTTCTATATGGGGATAATTTTCCCTTTTCACCTTAACAGGCTGCAAGAATCGGCATTCAAATCTTTTGATCGGAGCAAAGAATCCCGTAAATTGGACGTCATTGCCTCCATCTTTTGCAACGCATTGCAATAGCTCGATGAGAATGAACAATTTTACGAAGAACAATACAGTAGGAAGAGCTCTTATGGTTGGTGTTTTCGATAGTCAATGTTGCGTACTGCAATAAAGGCTGCAGAACGAATGGATAATGTCTTATCATGGAAGTATATAATTGGCGACAAAAGGGACTTGTCTCATACCATAAAATTTTTTGATGTTAATGCTCAGGAAAGACCGGGGTAAAATGAGACCCCTCGGTTTTTTTTTTCATTTCTCAATAAGACAAACGAGTTCGTTGTTTCATTATATATAACGTCCTCTAATAGATCTCATTCGTACGAAAATTAATTTTCGAATAAAAAAAATTTTCTATCTGAGAAAATCGCCAATCGTCGTTACGAGAAATATTCTAATTTTGATGGGAATAAGAATCGATGCGAAATCAAAAATTGTTTGTCTGCTGCAGATTTTTTGTACATTAATCATAACTCGCCGTTTTTGTCTCCACTGTGAGGGACGGTTGTCTGATCAGATCATTCTCTCACATTTTTGGAGCCGATGAGTTCTTCTTTGTGGGCTCCAAAAAATATAGAAAAGAAAATTATTTTTAATTTGAGAAGGACAAGTGTTGGAGGGATCAAAATTTTCTCAACGGTCAAACAATCATGGGGGTCGTCTGAGCTAATTAAGCAGTTTGGAGTCTGGTTAGTCCTTGGATGGATGTCCGCTTAGCCCTGCCTCCTCATGTAGAACTCCTGCCAACAGGTGCGAATGTAGAGCCCTACTGTATCTATCTAGTCAGGGTGATTGATGGGCACAATAGGGCCCCGGAATATCGGCCAGCTGTACGACTGGGGTTTCCTATGGTTTCTCTTTTAGTCATAGTCTGAATGTGGTGCAGTTGGGTAACAAATTAAGACGGCCCATGGTAAGGAAAATATGGGGAGGGGGAACATGAAAAAATGAGTAGGAGAGGCATGAAGGCCGATAGAAATGGAGCGCCTATAAATCCGTAATGATAGTTGGAAAGTGACATGAATAATACAAAAAAACTCGCATCTGCTTGGAGAATAATTATTGTATTTATTGTGCATTCATCAAGTAGAACTGCAACACAAGGTAATGCGTGTAATATACAGTGTTAAGATACTTACGTTTCGGTACAATTAGGACCTTTTTCGGGTAACTTATACGTCGTGAACGATCCTGCCGCACGGTTTTCTGAAGCGCCACGATACAAATTGAATGAGACACTCAACTTGCCACATGCAAGTTTTTCCTTCGTTATGAAATAGAATTCCGTATCTTTTTCTTTATATTCATATGATCCCTGTCGATTAACAATATCAATTTATAATTCATCAATTTCTCATTTTACTATTCCAATATAATGAAGGTAATGACATACAGCTTTGATGTTGCAACCATCAGAATCTCCGGCTATCATGTGTGAAATGGTATTCCAAACTACCTCCGACCAAGAACCACGAGGCTCACGGCTCATTTCACATATTGTTTGTCGTTCCTCAGGACCATAGGAATACATCCCCAAGTCGCCAAAAATCATGTAAGTTATCTATCCAACAGAATTTCTGTGAAATTCCTGCATAGGGACTCAATAAAACTTTTGGCGTACCGTGGAATTATCAGTATTGGACTGTGTACGAGTATCTGACATTCGAGCTCACTTTCTTTGATATTTCGCTTTTTTTAATTGCTCAACTGAAAAGCTCTCTCTCTCAATAGTTAATTGAAAGAGAAACTTTTTTTCTGTGGATTAAACACGCCCGGTGCGAGTGAGTCCCCATCGACCGTGCGAGCGACAGTGTTACTACATTCACTACCGCTCGCATCATGCTATGTACTGTGTGTAAGCGCCAACATGGCAATAGCCTGTTCGGTTGAACCCAATAGCCCTGCGAAGGATTAAGGCTAGCGACCGATCACGACTGCAAAACGGTTTAAGTCGAGTTATTTCTCAGTTGAGTTTTTGAGGAATATTTCGGAATCTAAGGGAGATAGTGTTATTTTCCTAATTACATTTGTTGTAGTTCTCAATAGGCTCTACACAAAAGGTTATAACAAAAATTTTACTATCTCCTTTAGATTCCGAGATATTCACTGAAAACTGGTCAATAGTGAAATTTGACTTCTACCGTTTTACCACTTTGCTGCTAAATTGATATTGTTGACTGCTGATCTTACAATTGCGATGCCTATAATTATGAATAAAGTAGACAATTGCAGTATTAATATTAGCAGCAGAATTCTCATTTATTTTACCTCAATTGCAATGTTTGGACTCAAACATTATCTACTGCATGCGCCTAGAAAATGATTAGAACTATCCTCGAAATTTCTGTCGTATACTTGTTTACGCGATTAGACTCCGGTTTATTAGACAACACGGATTTCTCGGATTAGAAAAAATTTTCAGGGTATTACGAAATTTTATAGGTGTTTACCCCTCAACGATTAACGAAGGATGAAGGCTAGCGGCCGATCGCCAGTGCATTCACGGATGCATTATTCATACGATTTTCAAAATTTGTCATGTTTCTGAAATGTTCAGAATCACTTTTTGTCCATTACATATATTTTCGACTTGGGATACTTCTTAGAATGTCGGATACTAGTACCTCCACGGTAAATGGTTAGCTTGAGAGTATACGTCGCCATGAAGAAAGATGGGTTAAATTAGTGCATGGAATTACGATTCAAAGTTACACATAAGATGAATCAATGTACATGTACCTACCGTTATATTAGTATCTTCATTGACATCTTCATTCCAATTGAAAGTACAAGGATAATTTATGCAATCAATGTCTTTTACTGTAAAAAAATCTTCCTGGTTGTGGTAAAATGTACCGAATGAGAGTTTTCCGAGTACAACATAAAGTTCGGGGCCATCTTCTGGTTCTGGTTCTGCTTCTGGTTCTGGTTCTGCCTCTGGTTCTGCCTCTGGTTCTGATTCTGCTTCTGGTTCTGTTTCTGGATCTCCCTCTGGTTCTGATTCTGATTCTGTTTCTGGTTCTGGTTCTGATTCTGATTCTGGTTCTGTTTCTGGTTCTGCCTCTGGTTCTGCTTCTAATTCTGATTCTGCTTCTGCTTCTGGTTCTGCCTCTGGTTCTGGTTCTGATTCTGATTCTGATTCTGGTTCTGTTTCTGGTTCTGGTTCTGCCTCTGGTTCTGCTTCTAATTCTGATTCTGCTTCTGCTTCTCGTTCTGCTTCTGATTCTGCCTCTGGTTCTGATTCTAATTCTGGTTCTGTTTCTGGTTCTGCCTCTGATTCTGCTTCTAATTCTGATTCTGCTTCTCGTTCTGGTTCTGCTTCTGTTTCTGCCTCTGGTTCTGCCTCTGTTTCTGATTCTGGTTCTGGTTCTGTTTCTGGTTCTGCTTCTGGTTCTGCCTCTGGTTCTGATTCCGGTTCTGTTTCTGGTTCTGGTTCTGATTCTTGACTAATGTCTTCTTCTGAACTTGATGAAGACGACGAACTTGATGACGAACTTGATGAAGAATCAAAGTCTTTCGTACTTGGATTGCAGTTGGGAAAAAATGGAATGAATATCTGAAGAAGTAAAGAAAGAAGGAATAATTTCCTTCCATATATGGATAATTTTTCCTTCTCACCTTAACACGCTGCAAGTACCGGCATTCAAATCTTTTGATCGGAGCAAAGAACCCCGTAAATTGAACGTCATTCCCTCCATCCTTCGCATCGCATTGTGATAGCTGGATGAGAATGAGCAATTTTCCGAAAAACAATATAGGTAGAATAGCTCTCATGGTTGCTGTCTTCAATAGACAATGTCGCGTATTGCAATGTCAGTGTTCATGATATTCGATTTACTAAAGGCTGCGGAACGCACGGACATTGTGTTATCACGGAAGTATATAATTGCCGACAAAAAAGACTTGCCTCATACGAGGAAAAAACTCAGATATTGATAATTACGCCACGCGATCTTTTTTTTCAACACCCATGCAAGAAATACCAAGGCTGCCGATAGGAACAAGCTGTATGAACTCTGCGTTGGCGAGACTCAGTCGCTCAGGCCTCAGCCAGCTCTGTTGTCATTGTGGATATTACCCTGAAACGAGTACGTCAAGGCACCTCTGGGGCGTAACTAATCCTCAAGAATAAAGTATACTTTAAATTCAGTTCCGTAACTCTTGGAATAGTGACCATCAATTTATGATGGTGAAAACATTGTTATCCCCTCCACAAAGAGTCATAAATATCCACCACATCATTCAAGTTAAACCCAAATCAGGCTTGCGGCAGCCCTTTGAGCACGAGGTTGCATAATTATAATTATCCTCATCTGTAATTAATTGACTAATGGATTTTGAACTCACCAATACATCAGATCTGTTTGTTTATTCAATTCGTAATAGTTTTATTCGTGGATACACAAAGGAACAACACGTTGTATTTTCATCGTTTTGTTTATTTAAAAAAAATAGAAACCCCAATGAACCTTATTTATAGCGCGCGGAGCGTGCAACATACCCTGGTATAAAAAAAAAACAAAGAAAATAATATCTCAAAAATAAATTGTAAACAGAATCTGTCTAATTGGGTGATAGTTTTTCAAGTTGCCCAATCCTAGATATCGTCATTAATTGTCATATGTTTGCCATCATATTGAGTAATCAATGAGATGCCACTGTCAACATTGGTCAATTTCCAATACGAAAACAGAGTATTGCTTATCACCATAACTAGAAGGTCCCTACAAATCGAGAATGTTTTATGTAGTAGCGCACGGCAGTTGATGATGAATTTAGTAGCGAAGGGGTAAAACGGTTCAAGTCGACTCATCTCCCAGTTGAGTTTTTGAGGAGTATTTCGAAATCTAAGGGAGATAGCGAAATTTTCCTAATTACATTTGTTGGAGTTCTCAATCGGCTCTACACAAAAGGTTATAACAAAAATTTTACTATCTCCTTTAGATTCCGAGATATTCATTGACAACTGGTCAATAATCAAATTTGACTTGTACCGTTTTACCACTTCGCTACTAAAATGATATTGCTGCCTGCTGATCTTACAATTGCGATGCTCATAATCATGAATAAAGTAGACAATTGCAGTACTAATATTAGCAGCAGAATTCCCATTTATTTTACCTCAATTGCAATGGTTAGACTCAAACATTATCTACTGCATGCGCCTAGAAAACGATTAGAACTATCTTCGAAATTGCTGTCGTCTACTTGTTTACGCGATAAGACTCCGGTTTATTAGATAACACGGACTTCTCGGATTAGAAAAAATTTTCAGGCAAATACGAAATTTTATAGGTGTTTACCCCTCAACAATTTTTGTATCGTCCTCTTAAAATTTACTATTGAACTGACGATGAAAATTCAATTATTCCACCAGCAATCTTGTTAAAATTAATAATCAGATATAAATCAGCAGATATAGGATGGTGGGGAAGGAACAAGAAGAGTAGGAGAGGCGTAAAGATGGCTGAAAATGAGGCGCCTAAAAACTCATAATCATGTTGATAAGAAACATGAACAATTCAAAAAAAAACTCACACCTGCTCGAAGGATAATTATTGTATTTATTGTGCATTCATCAATTAGAACTGCAACACGAGATAACGAGATGATATACAGTATTAAGGCTTTTTCGTTTCAGTACAATTAGGACCTTTTTTAGGCAACTGATAAGTCATAAACGATGCCGTGGTGCGTTTATCCGAACCCTTACGATACAAATCATATGCGAAGCTCAACTGACCACATGAGAGTGTTTGCATAGGTGTAAAATAGAATTCCGTATCCTTTTCTTCATACTCGTATGTTCCCTGTCGATTAGCGATATCAATTGATAATTTATCAATTTCCCATTTTACTATGGAACTATAATGAAGGTAATGACATACAGCTTTAATGTTGCAACCATCAGCACCTCCAGCTATCATGTGTGAAAGAACACTCCAAGCTATATTCTCCCAGGAAGTACGAGGCATGCGGCTGGCTTCACATATGGTTTGGAGTTCAGGAGGACCATAGTCATACACCCCCATATCGCCAAAAACCATGTAAGATATCTATCCAATAGAATTTCTGTGAACTTCCTACATAGAGACTCAATAAAGCTTTTGGCGTGAATGGTTGACTTGAAAGCACACGTTGCCATGAGGGAAGGCTAAATTACTGTATAGAATTACGATTCACAGTTACATATGAGATTAATCAAAGAACATGTGCTTACCGTTATATCAGTATCTTCATTGACGTCTTCATGCCAAGTGTAGGTACAAGGATAGTTTATGCAATCAATGTTTTTTACTGTCAAGAAATCTTCCTTGTCGTGGTGAGTTGTAGCGAATGCGAGTTTTCCCATCACGCCATGGAGATCGGGGTCTGGTTCTGCTTCCGGTTCTGGTTCTAGTTTCGGTTCTAGTTCTGGTTCTGATTTTGGTTCTTGTTCTGATTTTGGTTCTGGTTCTGGTTCTGGTTCTGATTTCTGATTAATTTTTTCTTCTGAACATGATAAAGACGATGAACCTGACGAGGAACTTGTTAAAGAATCAGCTAAAGTTCCTCATCAAATTCAAACTTGACAAGTTCCGCATGTTTTAAACGGATTGTAGTTGAAAATAAAATAGAATGAATATGTGAGGAAGTGAAAAAAAGGAATAGTTTCCTTTTATAAGTGAAAAATTTTTGCGTCTGACCTTAACCCGCTTCAACAATCGGCTTTGAAGTCGTTTGATAGGTGGCAAGAGCCCCGTAAATTGGAAGTCACTCCCTCTATTCCTCGCATCACATTGCGATAGCTCAATGAGAATCAACAATTTTCCGAAGAACAATACAGTTAAAAGAGCTCTCATGTTTGGTATCTTCAATAGTCAATGCCGCGTATGGCAATGTCAGTGTTTATGATATTCGAGTTACTAAAGACTGCGGAAAGAGTGGACATTGTCTTATCATGGAGGCATGTAATTGGCAACAAAGTGGATGTGCCTCATGCGATAAAAAACTTGCATATTAATAATTACACCACGTTTGATTTCTTTATTAACACCTACCCAGGATTGGCGACGATCACTGGCTCAGGCCGCAGCTGTTCCTGTTCTCATTATCGATATTATGCTGAAATGACGGCGATTCCTAAGGCCATCTCCGAGGCTGAATTCAGGTCTAAGGTAGCTGGTGCCTGCAACGCCCAGTGGGTAATACCGTCCACTTGTTCTTCTCAGGATTGACTGAGAATAATTTTTTTTCTCCTTTTTTATGCAAATATTTGATAACAACAAGTAATTTCAACAGAAATTTTCAATTTTCTCTTGTGGAAACATCGTTGAAATCCAAATAATTTCTTACAGAATTGTTAAAATATTTCTATCCCAGAATTTAAGATTTTTCAAATTTTCCGTTGGTGCATAATTGTATGGAGTAAGAAATATATTTTCCGTACTGCTTCTCACTTCTCCCAGTATTGGTATTGACCCTTCTTCAAACTGGTAAAAGTGAAAATCACTACGGAAAAATATCGTTCGCATCTAGTGCCACAGAGGTTTCCAGCTCGTGTGATTGACACACCTCACCTTCAGCTCGGTACGCCAACCTCACACGAGCCGAAAACCCCAGTGGCACTCGACACGAAATATACTAGTTCGTTATACATTTCCATATCTACTGCGACCTTTTCGATAGCAGAAAAATATCTTCATCAGTTATTATTGGCAATTTTATCAGCCTCCGCATTTGTGGGTAATTCCTCCCAGAGTTTGTGGCTAATCCCACCCAGGGTTTCTATGGAGCTGCTAGACTCTGCAGCTAGAGGGCAGTCGAGTGACAGCTCGATTGTTTGGGATAGTCGGTGGCCACTGGAAGATCGTGTAAATTCAGGATAATTTATTATTTTTCACTTGTAATATCATAAGAGCTTCAAAACTAGCGGATATTTTCCGATAGGTCCGTTGCAAACAAACGAAGGAGTCAAGTTTTTCAGGTTAAAAAATCACGAGTGCGAAGCACGAGTTGAGGAAAATGCCCGATTAATTTTAAAGCTCGTGTGGTATTCGGGCTATTATTTTTCCAATCCAAATGTCGGGGAATATAATTGGACCATGAGACGAAACTCACAATTGAGAAACGAAAATTGTATAATTAACACAACGACACAATTGAATTCAATCTGTCAGTTTGACGAGGGGTTATTTCGACTGCATGATGTTTTATTTCTTATATAGCGACTACCAGAGAAAATTATCAAAAAATTATCAGTTGAAAACCCTGTAGCTTGTACCACGTGATGTCGAATGGGCCAATTATATTTCCCGATATTTGGGTTGGAAAAAAAATCAGTAGTAATACCCCAAGAGCTTCAAAATTATCGGGTATTTCCCGATAGCTTCGTTGCAAACAAATGAGGGTGTCAAGTTTTGCATGTTAAATGAGGGTGTCTGGTTGCAAGTTTTGCGTTTGCGCTCGGGATTTTTTAACCTGCAAAACTTGGCACGATGGTTTGTTTGCAGGCGAGTTTGAGGGAAATACCCGATTAATTTTGAATCTCGAGGGGTATTTGTCGGATTATTTTTCCCAATCTGATTTTTGCCAAGCTCAATGCAGTGGACAACATCAGGAGGTGAATTGGGGAAGATTTAAACAAATTATGATAATAGAATAACCCGATTTCCATAGACTGTCAAATATAAAATTCTATCTGACATGGCCCGAAAAAGTGAAGAGCTACTGCAAAATATTCAAAAGCTAGGAGGAAATATCCGAAATAAAACTGTCGGGTAGCCTCAAATACTGCGCTCTGATTGGTCGAAATCCGATTGGGAAAAATAGTCATAAATATCCGCCACATCATTCCTGAAGGACATTGATTTTCCTCTTGGTCGTTGGAGTAAAGAACATAATTTTTGCTTCGATTCGAAAGAGAGACCATCAGTAAGAATATTTTTTAAAAAACACAAAGAAGATCATATCTCCAAAATAAACTGTAAAAAGAATCTTCCAAAATTGAGTGATAATTTTTCAAACCACCCAATCCTAGAAAAAATTGTCATCAATTTTCATATGTTTGCCATCATATTGAATAATCTTCGAAATGCCAGTATCGATATTGGTCAATTTCCAATATGAAAACAGGCTATTGCTTATTATCATAATTAGAAGATCCAGCATGTTTCATATATAGTAGCGCACCACACTTCTTCTTCTGTTCGTTTTGGTTATATCCTCTTACTAAAGGCGCACCACACTTGATCATGGACTGATATTGTTGACTACCGATCTTAATATTGCGATGCCTATAAATATGAAAAAATTAGACTATTGTAAGGCTAATATTAGCAGCAGACTTCTCATTTATTCCACCTTTATTACGATGTTTGGACTCATACATTATCTATGGCATGCGCCTAGGAAGTAATTAGAACTATCCTTGGACTTGCTGCCGTATAGTAGTTTACGCGGTAAAACACCAGTTTATTAGACAACACGCACTTCTCGAACTGGAAAAATAGTGTCTCAAGTTAGGATACTTTTATTTCGTTAAGGTATATTCCAAGACAATCGGACTCCAAAGTTAGTCCCTGTGGATTTCCGGAAAAAAATAATAAATAACTTAATTTATTGCAGACTCATTTTATATGATGTGACGTTATCACCCAAATCTGAACAAATCATTTCTTTCGTCTCCGCCGCGTTTTTCTTGAGTTGCAAAACGAAAAGGGGAGAGTGCCTCAGATGCTACTTTTCACGTGACATGATTTTTTCAGCTTATTTTTATTGCAGGATAAAGCAATGTACAACTACAACTGATAGATGACAAATCAAATTAACCATATGGCGGGGGAAAATCGAAATCTAAATATGATGAAATGTAGAGGCCAAAAATTGATGCAAAGTATTTTTTCGTACTGCTTCTCTCGATTTCTCGTCTGGTATTGGTATTGAACACTTCTCAAACGCCAAAACTTGAAATTTACTGCGGACAAATCTTTTCCAGGCTGTGGCGATGGGATTTTTTTCATCCGTGTGGTTGGCCAGTCCTCCCCTGGTAGAAATTTAAAGTCGATTTGCTACCGCCCCGGATGTTCCTGAACGACATTAAGTGTTAAGACGACGTACCGTAAGGACGTCGGATAATACCGTTGATACGGCTTCCGTCTTAGTTTTTCGATAGTTTTGTAAATTCTACACAGAGAGAATAGAGAGAACAGTAAATATTAGCATGGTCGGAGGAAAGATTACTATGTCAACATAGTATCGCTTACTATAACATAGGAAAGCTTACTATGTTACACAGTAATTATTGCCTTGTCCATAGTATTTATTACCATTGACCACTTGACCAGCTTACTATTCCCCATAGTAACCATGACGATGTTTCATCCCGCACGAAAAAATTTATATTATGAAAAATATGTAAAAAAATATCTTAAATTGGCTCAATTTATATTTAAAAAAAATGAAATATAGGTCCGGTTGCACCAGCTCCGGGGGACGAAAACGTCAGATAATAACAAAAGTAAATTTGGATGTTTAATGGATTATTTTACCCGGGAGAGTATCTCAAATTTATCCCAGGAACAAAAAATAAAATTTAACTGCAAATGGGGCTACAGGATAAATAAAAAATTATTTTTCGGGTCAAATATTGAAAAACTATGACACCTACGATATAATTGACCCCGAGGATAAATGTTACCCTGGGGTTTATTTGGATAACAGGGCTTGGAGGAACCGGGCCATATATTTATATATATTTTTTATATATACTTTATAAATTAAAAAAACTAGGCAAACATGCGCGCTGTCGGGTGCGACCACCTTCAAGTGAGCGCTGCAACGCACAATTATGTACTCATAGCAATGGAAATCATTGATTGATCCATCAACCAATCGCAAGGCGAATAAAAAGTTAACAATCAAAACAATCATTCATTGTCAATCAACTTTATGAAAAAGGATATGTGGACTTAGCCCATATTATATATTTTTTTTAATTTTTTTGTTGGGGGATGGTAGCCATTACCATGTCCATAGTAATACTTACAAAACTGGCATTTCATACATTTCAAATGCAAATATTTATATACATTTACTTGTGGCAAGTAAATTTACTTGGCAAAAGTCTTTTTTTTTTTAGTGTATGTGCGGATTCCGACATAGTAATCTTTACTATTTTATTTTCTCCGTATGCGAGTAATCGAGCACTTATAGGGGGTGGGGGGGCAAAACGGACCAAGGGGGCAAAACGGACCGGGGGGTAAAACGGACCCCTGGGGGCAAAATGGACCCCTAAAAAAAAGTTTTTTTTTTCTCACGAATAAAATTTTCCAAAATTCATCACTGAATAGGAGGGGTGAGAATGATGGAGGAGGAGGTGGTGGTCGGTGGGTGATGGAGTTAGACGCCAGATACTATTTTTGAACCAGTTAAACCCCGCAGGAAAGTTTTTTCTTTCAATAATGACACCTTTTTCACTTCGTAATTGACTTTTATAATTTATTATTAGAGGTGAACGTGAAAAGTATACTGCCATTAATGAAAATTGAGAACAACATCATAGTAAGATAACTTCATTCTAATGAATACGAAAATGTCCACGTTCTAATCAAAAGTCTTGGTGAAATTGGATGGAATGATGATGAATAAGAACAATGATGATTAATAACAATAATAAATAACTTCCATATCCCGGGAAGTTAATAATAACAGTGATGATTAATAAAAATAATAAATAATAACAGTGATGATTAATAACAAAAATAAATAATAACAATGATGATGAATAACAATAATGAATAATAACAAATATAAAATATGAGGTTAGTAATAAATAATAAAGTTTTAGTCTGATTCTTTGCACTCGTCACAAAAAAAGTACGTGGGTCCTGCATTTTCATCAATGTTAGCACAGGTACAATGAGCCCAACCGTTGCAACTCTGGCACTGAATCCACTCCCCACCACTGTCATAAAAACGTTTTTCACAATAAATGCATGGAACATTGTCTGCATCATTGGATTTCTTTCTGATTCCCCTCAAACTTGCCCCCCAGCCCGTTTTGCCCCGTTGGTCCGTTTTGCCCCCCCTCCCCTAATTAAAGAAAAGCAATACCTCTCTATATTATAAAAATCCAAATCGACTCGAACTTGAGACTCCACAATTAAGGATCACAAGGGTCAAAATAAGGGTTATGCGGGTCAAATGACGGGTCACGAGGGTCAGAATAAGGATGATGGAGGTCATATGTGGGTCATATGGGAATTGGTGAGCGGAGCGAGCAGGAGGCGTAGCCCCCTAGTGAATACTATAAAACGACTAGTCTATTTTATTCAAAGTTGGAGTTGTGAACGCAAAAGAAACAAGATTATTCCTTACTTGGGCGGTACATGCACCATCTTTCCTAGGTCAACATGTTCTGATTTGAACTGTGCCAGTTTTTTCCTCGGGAAAAATGCAGTACAGTGTTGACTCACGATTGGACGCATATGCTGAGACAGACTCCAAAACACTGAAAAAACATAATAACGCAGACGAAATCCGAAACTTTGCATTTATCAATGGCAACATTAATAATGAATTTCTTCCATTCTTCTCTTTACAGCTCCCCTATTCCATGGAGGTGGATTATAATGTGATGGGTGTGCAGGGCGGTAATCCCGAGGCAGTGGCCTTGCTTCGTCCTCGGGTCAATGTCTCAGCTAAAGGTGAAGTTCCTACCAACCTTCAAGTTTTCAGAATAAGAATACCGTGTTCGGGTCTAGTCAGTGCTGAAATACCAATGACTTTGAGGTTAAATGTCACAGCACCACCTGGCACCAGGTACAACGACACAATGCTCATTTTCAGGAGGAATAAAATTTGCTTAAAAGGTAAGTTTAGCATTCGTGAACTAAAGTAATTGAACAATTTTTCATTGAAAAAGGAGAGAAAAGGACCCAGAAAAATGATTTATTTTAATCAAATAAAGTTTTCTTTATATTAAATAAATGTTTCTTTACTATTAATAAATCTTTATTTGAATCAAATAAATTTTTTCTTTGTACGCAATAAATATTTATTTGATAATAATAATAATTTATTATCACTTTGAGATGGTAATGAACTTGAAAAAGATTGAAAGAAAATCATGCAATAATTATTAGGGGCTGTACATACATCACATAAAACATTTAGCGGGGACGGGGGAGAAATTTCTGTTCCATGGTTTCACGGTCAGGCAGACGATGGTGAAAAAAGCTCGTATGTACAAATAAACAATTTGTATGAACAAAGTGTTTATTTGATTAAAAAAAATAATTCATTAGAAATCAATAAATGTTTTTTTTTCAAATTTAATAAAAATTTTATTTGAAATAAATAAATAGTTTGTTTAATATATTGAAATCCTTTTTCTTGAAATAAGTGAAAAATTTCAAATAAAAATTTTTATTTGATTCAAAAGCACCATTTTTCTGGGTGCAACTTAAAACTTATAGAATAAGGAAATTACATTTCTCGTGACATTCGATGTTAAAACTGAGAGAGTAATATCGAGATAATATTCTCGCCTCCTTCATCACCTGGATTCTGCCTGACTGATATTATTTCTAGCCCAGAGAAAATTTCCTAATTTTTCACTTTTCAAATTTCCATTTATTCTCCATATCATCAAGCACATTTCTCCTATATTAAAACCAGAGAATATATTCAAAGTGACGTTATTCTACATTTCAAAATATGCTTTTCCGTTATAAAGGAAATAGGTTGAGATCGACCACATTAGCGAATATTTCCAATTAAATTTTCAATCAAAATGATGGTTTGACTCGTTCTGGTCAGATCAAATGACAGTTAATCACCGGCTACTGATGATTTTGTGGGGACAAACGAATGTAGGTGTTGAAATTCGAGTTAGGGAGTAATGGAACCCAGAGCTGGTGTAATGGGAATGTACATCAAACCATCTACATTTCATGATGAAATTCACGTTCAAAACGCGTCGATGAATGATTGGAAATGATTCTCACGAAAATTTTCATTATTTCGATCATATATTGCAGCATAACTGAATATGACTGAAATTTTGCGGAATTTCGACATTGGAAATTCACCATTTGATGGCAACATCAATGAAAACTGAAATTTTCGGTTAATTATTCGACGAAAATTCATGGAAATATAGTGAACGTTCAGATGATTATTTTTACCAATCGGATTTCGGCCAATCAGACTGCAGTATTGAAGGCTACCCGACAGTTTTATTTCAGATATTTCCTCCTAGCTTTTGAATATTTCGCAGTAGCCCTTCATTTTTTTACCTGAATATTTAGCAGTAGCTCTTCATTTTTTCGGCTCATTTCAGATAGAATCTTATATTTGACAGTCTATGGAAATCGGGTTACTCTATTAGCACAATTTGTTCAAATCTTCCCTAATTCACCTCCTGATGTTGTCCACTGCATAAAAATATTTGTCAAAGACTTACCTCGGAGATGATGTACACTGAGAAAACAATATAATTCTGCCAATCAAATTTGCTTCACGCAAACAATTACCGAAAACTTCCATCCAAAATCTCCCCATAAGTTGTTGTCTGAAGCAAATTTGATTGGCAGAATTATATTTTTGCTCAGTACATCTGATATAATACACGTTGAATAATCTCACGAAAAATCGTTCCCTCGCTTCAATTAAAAATGAATAAGCACTGCAATTTCATAACCCGATATTTCCACGTTCGCAAAATTAAAACTACCTCGACTCATTCCTCACACCGAAACAGACTCTCTCGACAGAAGCTTGATCCCTCATCAACTATCCGCCATTTCACATTTTAATTCAATCCCAACTACATGAAAGGAGGAATGACAATGAGCCAATGAGACTGTCCCATCGTGTTACCCACCTTTTGGCTTTTCGTATCGTCACCGACGGCGGAGACGAGAGAAAACCCGAGTATCCGGTTACAAGGCGAGATGGAAACAGGGTAAAGCAATCCGTCGGAGGTAAAATTGAATCTCGTCGACGGGATTTAATGAAAGGGATCTGACTCTTGAAGCCATTGAGAATCAAGATCAAGGGGCGGCGCATTGGAAGATTGAGGGGAAGGGGGGATGATGGGTGAAGTAGAAGAGGGAGGAGGGTTGGAGGATGGTCCTGGCGCAAATAAGGGTGAAGCATCCCAGGAATGGTAGGAGCTCTTTTTTTATCAAGGAGAAAAAATAAATGCCGACGATACTTCGAGAAGACGAGGATGAATCCTAGAATCATCCAAAACCCCTTATGTAAAATGCCTACGGGCTTATGTTAGTAATTGAAGGGATTAGACTTTATGAGAAGACGACAGACTTTCACAAGGAGAGAAGAGTATGGGACTCATTCTAGTGTTCGCCACTAGAACACTGTTAAAAATTTTCGTCAGAATTTTCCGTGGTAAAATGCGGAAATTTTTATCATGTTTAACTTCCACTGAAATTTCAGGAAATCTCGTTATTGAAAAATCAAATATTCTATTGATTTTCTGTTTGAGTGATCTGAAAATCAATAAAATACTTGATTTTTCAGTTCAATTATGCCGTGAAGCTTCGGAAAAATGAGGATAATTCAAGGAAAAATTGAAAATTCATGTTATTTTCATTCTGAATATTCATGTTCCACTGAAAAATCAGTCGAGTTGTGAAATTTCCGACTCACTACCACTGAAGACTCATGAATTTCTTTGAATTTTACCTAAAACTTGAAATTTCATAACCATTTTTCCCATTTTTCTGCCATATTTTCCATGAATTTTCCATAAATATCTAACAGTGAATAGAAAACCTGCATGAAGCTCAGTCTTTCCGAATTCTCCTCTTAAGAGGAGTTTTACCTCGAGAGAAAAACTTTTGCGTTTTTTGACAAAAAAAATTCAAAAACACTATTTTCCGCGTGATTTTTCTGCAGAAATCCGATTTTGTCGGTCAAATTCGTCTCTGATCGCTGAAAATTAAAGATGCAAGTTTTTTCTAATCGAAAAATCAACTTCCCGTGTAGAAATCCCGTGTAGAAATTCAAAGATAAAAATCAGTAGAAAGAAGTAGGTGAGACAAGGCAGACGAATGGGTAACCTATAAAACCGCAATGCTGGTAGGAAAGGAATATGAACAAAAAAAAAACAATTCGATTCTCCACTTTTGAGTAGCAGGAGACAATTATGACCTACAGAATCAGATTCTTAATGAACAATCGCGCGAAAAATAGTATTTTTAATTTCTTTTTCTCGAAAAATGAAAAAGTTTAGTTTATTTTTGGCTGAGAAAACTACGTGACTCAAGGGGCTATTCACAGGCGTAATCGTGGTCTCACTCGCTGATGTAATCAATTGTAATTCCAGTGAAATCAATGTAATCATTGTAATCACATGATTACCATATTTGTAATCAAGTTTTGGTAATCAAGTGGTAATCATTCGTAATCACTGTAATCATTTGTAATCAGTGTAATCTTTCGTAGTTGCTCCTAGTGAGACCTTGAATTTTGTTTTTGAATTTTCGAGCGCGTCATTTCTACCAATGGTAAGTCTCAAAGATCCCTGGATCAATTTTTCTTGGAATCCCAGATGTTTATAGTTCAGAACCTTGCATAGCTAATGCGTTTTGCACGAGGCATTTGTCCGTAGAAAATTGATTCAACAGATTTAAAAGTTCTTCTTATTCTGGAGAACCAACGACTGAATTATCTCTGAATTATCTACGGGTAAGTTTCATTCTCCATCAATGGTAGATATTCAGTAAATTTATTTTGCTGATAGCACTTATAAATGCCCAAATTTTTAGATGGAGTGATGGAGACTGCATTCTTCTGTTCCAATCCCCGCCCCTCCTTCCTCATTTCTTCGCAAGTTCTCATAATTAATTATTCCATCAATTCATATCTAATAAGAGACCATTTTTTGTGATTTCAATGATTATAGACGTTTGGTAGTCACAGATGTAATCGACGAAATCATTTGTAATCATGTAATCACAATCTATGCTCTTGGTAATCACGGTTATCACATAGGCAATGGTAATCAGTGTAATCAGTCCCATAATCCTGGGTAATTGATTACATTTTGTAATCGCGGTGTCACCCAAAAGGCCTGTGACTAGGCCCTCGGCGTGACTGCCAACAAAATTTGCTGTGCCCACAAAGAAGCTTTCGTACAATTGTTTTATTCTTTCTTCACGTTTTATTCTTTCACAAATATTTTCTTCCTAGTTTTTGAAAAAAAGTACCTCTCAATGATTTTGTCTCCGTCATGTTGCACCTCCCGAAGTATTTATCTTATGTACACTGACAAGTCGTTGCACGTGTTGCCATTGGAGTTGCTCAAAACCATAGCTAACAATCTCCTCTCGAGTTGTGTGTTCCCCTCCGGGTGGTATTCCAGTGGTAACAGCGGTGACTGGTCAGCCACGATCAAACAGTCGCTAACCGAGATTTACGCTTGGCCAGAATTAAGTCCTCTGGGATCAGCGGATTCCCTTTTCACTGTGGGGTAACCCTCATACTGTTGCCATCCGTTTCTTGTGTATCTCGGGTCAAACGTAATTTCCTCAACTGTCTGACACATCTTGGCAAACCCCACAGATCGATTTTTCGAGTGAAAATTTATAGCTGACGATGAAGCAATAGAGTTGATCTAGAGTGTTAGCTGATTGATTAATTCTGGGAGAAAGTGAGTCTTTATTTTCTCATTTGAAGAAATTGAATACTTTATTAGTAAAAATTTGAAATTTCGCGACGCTGAATTCGATTTAGGGTGGGAAAAATAATGAAATTTTATTTTTTACGCATTATTTTCCAAGTCTAGATTTCAGCCAATCGTAGTGCAGTATTCGAAGAACTGCGATTGATTTGTTACAAAATT